GTCACTCAGAGATAACCACTCTCCAACATTTTGGTGTATTTCTTATAATCTCATAATAGAAATAATAACAGCAACAGTAAATATCATTATCACTTTATTGAGTGGATACTTGAAATAACTAAGTGATAACTGAGGTAGAAGTCCAGTGGTGCTCTGTTAACAAAATGGGGCTGATGAAAGGAGTAAAGAAGATACAAATGACTACTTTTGTCTAGAGGCTTCTGATGAAGATGAGAAAAATGGTTTCAGGAAGAGATTAAATGTTCACTTTAATAACCTTTTCTCTACCCTTCTCAACATCCCATTGTAAACGCCAAACAATTCGGGCTTCTGACCAGGTTCTCAGAATAATGTTTGACAGCACTGAGAACATTGGTAATGGAATATAATTTATAGTTCAGGTCTGCTGTGTTTCTGTGCTGCTGGATAATTTCCCAAGCCTTAGGAATGGGCACTATTCACAAATAGTGGCTTTTCCACTCATACATAAAGACACAGGCAATGGAAGATGGCGCCATCCACTGAGAAAGGACTCTGTCCTCCTGGTTGTTGGTGAAGCTCTTCCATTGCCTGCCCTCACTGGAGCCTGGCAGGGGTTTGAAAGGAGCTTTCTTGGCGTGAAATGCCAGAATAAATACTGGAGGCTGTACAGAGCCTTGACTTTGAGGTTTACAACCTGAAAGTTTCCATGGACACTGGCATACTGCTGGCAGGGAATGTGCTGTGGAAGTGAGGACAGTTTGCAGCGTCTGAAAAAGTTCCATCTCCTGCCTTTTTATTTTTCTATTTTAGAATAGCGGCCATTGAAAAGAAGAAAGGGGGAGTAAAAATGGACTTTTTGCCCTGTTAGGGAGGTGGTTAGAGCCTTCACACTCTATTTAATGCAGTCCACTTTTTTTTGGTCATTTTTGGAGTAGGCTCCTTTGAACCTTGCAGGAAATTTGACTAATAGAACAAGTATTTCTGAAATTTTCAATCAGTATAAATTCTGCTTTTCTTTTGTGTAGCTTCCTGCTTCTGACCCTGTTCTAATCTTTTTCAGTTTATCTCAGCCGCACTTTTCTGGAACAGATCTTTCTTAAGCTATGATGCTTTCTAACTCCTAGCATGCTTATTTTTATAATCCGCCTATAATAGAAAAGTAATAAAAGCCTTGGTTTCCTACAGACCAGCTAGCTAGGAGTTAATGGCTCTAGCCCATGTCAAGCACATTGAATGGTGGTGTTTTTAAGTACAAGCTCTTAATTCAAGGTTTATGTGTTCAATTATGCATGTGTAAAGTGCCAGTCTGTGTGCCTCTTGGGTCCCACCTAGCTTGGAAATATTAGCTACAAGAGCATATAGAAAGTACCATGGGATGAAGCTTAACTCTTCAGATGTACATCCTTTATCCCAAGATTCACGTGGTGGGGAAGAATATCCCAGTGGGGATAACAACAGAAGCAGCGTGTTAACTCAGAAAAACATCTCAATTAAGAAGAAATAAATTTGACGAACCCAAAGCAGGCAGAAAGGGATCATTAGACACAATATGTTGTAACAGAAAGTACACTGGACTGGACCAGAGGAAAGTTGGTTTCTACACCTGACTTTATCGCTGCACTTCGCTGGGGCCTTTTTTCTTTTTTTCACTTATAGAATAAAGAGGTTGGACACAGCTCTAATAACAGCAATCAGATGTTTAGTAGTTAGTTCTGACCATTCTCAAACAAGCCACCAATTTTCAAATTACAGTGCTATCTATGTTTAAGTAATAACATAACTTTTCACCCCAGTGCAATTATAACAAAGATATATCAACAAGCTTGTAAACTAGGGCCTTAAGGTTTCAACAACTTAAGGGCCAATCAGTTGACCAAAGCGGGGAAACTCCTTTTAGGGTTTCATTTGTGTAGAGGACCCAGGTCCCTCGGGTAAGATGGAGACCACTACCAGTGCTCTAGAAAGTACTTAAAGGAGGAAGGGAAGACTTTCCTTTAATCTGAGTAGTTCTACTTTTGGTTCTATTACATTTTGGGGTTGCACATTAACATTTTGTTTGGCGTGAGGGAATGGGGAAGTTCTGTGGCTTTAAAAAGGTTTGGCAATTTCTGGTAGACACTATTTAAAAGGAACCTCTTATATCGCCAATTTCATCATTTGTGATACATCCAGCCTTCTCTCTCCTCTGCATATGTAGAATTTTCTCTTTTTATGTAACACTACATGCAGTATAGTCAAGAGTATGAGTCTGTCACTCTCACCTTTGGGGAGCTATAGGACAGAGGCAGAAGAAATCCTAAGAAACCTACTCAGAAATTATGTCAGTGGCTCCTAGGTAGCAGGTGCGAATGGGAAGGGCCTGCTGAGCTGTGAAGTTTTTAGCAGAATGGAGTTTTGATGGCAAGGAGGTGAGATGGGACCTGAGGGGGGTATTGAAAGCTGCTTCACCTTGCTATTGGAGAACCAGAGTGCTCAACCTGCCATGTGACCAGTCCCCCAGGGAGTCTTTTCTTTGGGCCCTGAATTAGAATGGATGCCTTGACCCAGAAGTTTGTTCTTACCATTTTGAGCTAAGTGGGCAAATACCTATTTGTGAATTAGTAGAGAACTGAAGTGAGAAGAAGTTTAATATAAAGGTGGATAAAAGTTTTATATAGAGGTGGATTATTCTGCCTTTCATTCTCATTTGTAACTTGATCTGCGTAAAATAAAGTATCATGTTGAAAAACCTAGTAAAGCAACAAGAAATAGAGAATATAACTTTTCGAAACCATAATTTATTCACCTATTGCAGTTTGGCTCACACCTTTCCTGGATGTGCTGTCAGCTTCTTAACTTCGAACCACATATATACACGTATGTTAGGTCTAGTAAAATAGGTTGCGAGTCTGTTTTCATTATGATCTCAATTTTTAGTCACTTGGAACTTTTAAGAGAGTTTGTTAGGCCTTCAGAAAAGTTCATCCCTTAGCAAAAAGCTTTTTTGGTTTAGTCTCTTAAGAGAAGGTCCTAGATCTTAGAAGACCTAATTTATTTCAAGGGTAGAGTTCCATTAATAAATGATCACCATAAAGCATAACAGTCTTGAAATATACACACTAAAAATAAAAAGGACTTACAAAAATAAACACAAATCACAGTTCTCACTCTGATACAGAGTTTGCAGGAACATTAATAACATTTAACACTCCCCTCCCCTTTCCTTTAGCACCAGGGAGAGTACCTGCAGAGAGCATATGAATTCCTGAGGGCTGATGTCACTTAGTCACTGGTATGTGAGCAGATAGAGGCCTGATTTTGCATTGACATTCTCATGGCAGCTTTACAAAAGCTGCATAAGTATCAAGCCTCTTTCTGTTTTAAGGGGGTCAATTAAAAATGGCTTGATCTCCCCTCTCATTGAGCCTTTCTCTTCCCCAGGCTCCTTTCCTAGGTTTTCCTAGTTTGACTTCCTTTCTGACAGACTGCTAGAGTGAACAGAGCACCGAACTGGGAACAAGGAGATTGGGACCCTCTGCGTCTCCTATAAGTTGGCAGCTGTGTCTGTTTCCTTATCTATAAAGGAAAGGGGATTCGCTTAGATGACAGCTACTTTCTCTTTCATCTCTAAATTCTCTGTTGGCCTTTCTCATTTTGACTGCTGTCCTACTTCTTTTCTGTTCCCTACCTCTGCTATTCAGGATGCATAGTTGTTTAAAAATATTCACAAAGTAAATGTGGTTATGAGGAAATATCAATAAATGCAGTTGTTGGCAAGATATGGGGCGTAGAAGTTCTTATCTTGGTAGTTTCTCACTTTTCTTTGCCTTTCTTATGCACTAGTCAAACATAGCCTACAGTCATAATTTATTTGGTCTGCACAGTTGTTGCAAAATAAAACAATAATATATTTTTACCCATCAGAGAGCAAAAAATTAAAGGCTTAATTTTATCCACTACTGATAAAGCTGTAAGGGAAATGCTTGCTTTCACATATTGTTGTGGGAATATAATTGGTGCATGTTTTTTGGAGCACGGTTTGTATCAATCAGTATGTTTGAGTATGTATAAATCAACTACTCCAAAGGCCTCTAAAGAAACTTATATGAAGATATTAAGAGGCATATCTCAGGATTTTCATTGATGTGTTGTTCACAATAGCAAAAATTTGGAAACATCCCGTTACTTCCACTAAGAAGGGAGTAATTAAATAGGTATATGTGTATACCTACACACACACACGCACATACACACACACACACACACACACACGATAGGTTTTTACGTGTGTGTATATATATATGTGTGTGTGTGTATATATATTTTTTCTCCATATATAGCTTATAGAGATATTTATTCATTTACTTACATATTTATATATAAATATCCATAAATTATCTTTATACAGATATTAAAAATAATGCAAAGAATGAAGTTGATCTGTAGGTACCAACATATTTTAAGTAGAAAAATAAGACCAGAACCATATGATATGTTCACTGTGGTCCATTTATGTAAAAACAACATAATTCTCTCTCTCTTTCTGTGTGTGTGTGTGTGTGTGTGTGTGTGTGTGTGTGTGTGTGTGTGTATGAAACTACATAGAAAAATGGCTGAAAGGATACTTAACAAATTATTAATAGTAATTTCCCTCTGAGGAGGGAAAAGGTATAGAGATGGAGAGAGAAGAGGAATTTGATTTTTTTTTACCATATATACTCATCTGTTAAATATTTTAAAAAGTATTTCTGTATTACCATTATAAAAATGAATACAAGGAAAAGAGCAGAAAGGGAGGATAAAGAATTCCTATAGAATAAAAGAGGCAAAATTTTTTTTACCTCTTTTATTTTTTTAAGCATAATTTTCATCAAAGATATTAAGGGAACCTTGTTTAGAGGATGTTCCCAAAACTTCAGGATCAGACAGAAACCCCGGTTTGCATTTTGGCTATCAGGGCTGCCTGGCACTTACAGTGACAGCTCTACTTTTCCATATTTTGTGTGACCAACTTATCCTTATTTGTCTGTGTTCTGCAGGTAACTCGGGAGCAGATGAAGGTGTTTATACAGCAGGAATTTAAGAAGGTTCAGAAAGTGATTGCTTATGAGGAGCAGAAGGCCCTTCATCTAGTGGACATCCAGGAAGCAATGGCCACAGCTCATGTGACTGAGATCCTGGCAGACATCCAGTCCCACATGGACAGGTTGATGACTCAGATGGCCCAAGCCAAGGAGCAACTTGATACCTCTAATGAAGCAGCTGAGCCAAAGGCAGAGGTAAAGGAGAATCCCCACAGTTATTAGTAGCAGGAGAAATCGGAGGAAACTGGCTGCCATGTTTGTTAGTTCTGGACATGCCCTCTTGTGAATGAACTGAAAACTCAGACAGGGTATAAGTGTTAAACTGGTGTGTATACCAGTATGGAAGTGTTGGCCACTGGGGTCTGCAGCCAGCACCTGGGCCTGGCAACACATTTCTCCACCGTGACTTAAAGGAGTATAGTCAGTGGGGCAAATACGAATCACAGTGAAGGAGGGAAGCCAGAAATCGTTGCCAGAAAAGGCAGTTGACAGATCCCAAATCGTGAAATGAGCTTATAAATAAAGAAATAGGGGCGAGAACAGGGCTGAATGAGGATAAGCCAAAGCAGGCCAGAGTGAAAGATTATGGACTGATTCTGTGAATCGTGAAAGGGTTCCTCAGGTTGGTTTTTATATGGAGCCAACTGCACAAATTGGGGGCATAACTGCTGAATTAAGAGAGGCATGGGGGCTAGGGCACTACAAGGATCAAAAATAGACAGCATGAAAGAAAGGCACAAGGTAAATGTTGAATCACTCGACAATGAATAGAGTCACTGTGATCATTGTTATTTTCTAACCAGAATAAAAGGGTCTCAGACGTTTTACCAAACAACACATTTGGGCATTCAGAATCCATTTCTACAAACTCATTTAAGGCAGCCATTCAAAAAATTATATATAAAGTTTATAACGTCTTTCAGCCACTGGGGAGAGGCTATTGTTCATCAGATTTCATAGCTTTATGTTGAAAATTCTAGTCAAGCTTACGCCAGATGGGTGTAGGGTAGGCCCTTCTATAATAGATGAAAACCTGGAGAGTCCTGTGGACTTTCTAGACTGCTGCTGACTCAGCAATTTCAGCCTCAACTAGCACAGTCTTGCCTTGGCTGAGGAGAGCCTAACCACAGACTAGATGAGCTGAGATATCACCTAGAAGGCAGGTATTGTTCAAGCCCTCCTGACAGGAAATGGAAGAGACCACTGAACAGTTACCGGCTTCACGCATCCAGGGTTCGTGACTAAATTTCACATGTGTTAAAAAAAACAGAATAGCTCTTGTTCTTTGCATTTCATCTTCTCCAGAATAAGACAGCGTGTGCCTAAATAAGTTTCTAGATAGGCAAGAGAGCACTTTATAGTAATCCTTTCATTTAATCCTTATATCAGCATTCATTATCTCCATTTTGCATATGAGATATTGAGATGCAGAGACACTGACCCAATGTTATTTAGTTAGTAGAAAATAGAGCCAGGATTCAGATTTAAGTCTGTCCTATTCCAATAGCTGTACCTATCCCCTGCTCTGCCGTATGCTAAGCATCACGTTTGTATCTGGGGGAAGAATGCGGAAAATCAGTGTCCTAGGCAGCTTTGCATTCCTCAGACCTTTTACAGTGTAGACTGGTCACTTTGTGTCTTAGTAAACGGAAAGCTAGACCAGAGTTAACTCAAGGGATCAATGCCATTACCCTGTCCCAAATTTCCCTCCAATTGGATTTATTCTGTGTGTTGATTGGGTTGTTTTTTCAAAAATAAAGATTTAATTTTGAGAGATATCTGTCTTTTATTTTAACTTCAAATAATGAATTTAGTCCCTCCCCAACATTAACTGTCTTTAAGCTGCTCAACTGCACTCTGCTTGTTAATGCTGATGGAATTACTCTTAGGGATGCAAAGCTCACAAAGCCTAAGACTAGGCTGTGGACAAAATAAGCTATTAACCAGAAGCAGGGATGGGCTATGTGCAGAGCTTTTTATACAGAGCCTGTGTCATCTAATATTCCAGCTAATCAGGTAACTTATTGATCAGAGCGAATTTCTAGTACCTTTCTTTCACTCAACAGAGGCATTCCTTTCTCCCCTTTGTATGAAACAGATTTTTAAAAAATTTTTTGCATTTTAAATTTGGCTAATTCCTGTCCCCCCGCCCCGACACACAAACACACACACACACACACACACACACACACACATTTTTTAACGAAAAATTGCAAACATACTACAGCAAAGTTGAAAGGTTTTACACATTACACCCATATACCTCCATCTAGATTCTACCATTAACATTTTACTTGATTTATTTTATATATATAGTCATCTTTTCAACCTTGCATTCATCAGTGCATCTTATTTCTGATGCATTTAAAAGCAGATTGCAACTTCTGCTTCTGAACATGTGATTTTTTTTCTTTTTATTTGTTGATTATTTAGCAGTGTGGTGTTTAGCTTCCAAATATTAGGGATTTTCCTACATATATTGGTTTTCATTTCTAACTTAGTTCCATTGCGATCAGAGAGCATATTCTGAATGATTTCAGTCTTTCAACATTTATCAAGACTTGTTTTATGGCCCAGCATGTGGTCTATCTTGGTGAATGCATACGTGCACCAAAAGAGAATGTGTATTCTGTACTTTGGGGTGTAGTGTTCTATTAAATATCAATGAGGTGTTCAGAAATTTTAGGTTTTTACTGATTTTTGTGTCTAGTTCTGTCAGCTTCTGAGAAAGGCGTGTTAAATTTCCAAGTATGATAATGGAATTATCTTTCCCTTTTGTTCTATCAGTTTTTCTTCAGATATTTTGAAGATTATTAAGCAAATACACATTTATAATTGTCATGTCTTCCTGGTGAAAAGTTACTCTTTTTCTCTGATAATACTTCGTCTTGATGTCTGTTTTGTCTCATGTTTTTAAGGCCAGTCCAGTCTTATGCTTACTGGTTTTATGGTCCATCTCTTTCCGTTCAGTTGCTTTCAGTCTATCTGTATTGTTAAAGTCTGTCTCTCTTTGGCAGCACATAGCTAGGTCTTAATTCTTTTATCTAGTCTGATAATCTCTGCCTTTTAATGGAAGTGTTCAGTCCATACCATTTAAATGTTATTATTAATGTGGCTGAATTTAAGTCTATCATTTTGTGATTTGTTTTCTGTTTGTCGCTCTGTTTTTGTTCCTCTCGTCTTTTCCTGCCTTTTTTTGGATTTTTGAAATAATTATTTGAATTCCATTTTAATATAACTATTGACCTTTTAGCTCTATTACTTTATATTATATTTTAGTGGTGTCTAGAGGATTATAATATATATCCTTAAATTTTTAGTCTACTTAAAATTAATATTGTTGGGGGGAGGAAAAATTAATATTGTACCACTTCATATAAAATGTAGACACCTTGAAACTATATAGGCCAATTTACCCTCTTTCTGTGTCCTTTATGTTATAGTATCATATATACAGAATCTACATATGTAATAAACACTGCAACACAGTTATAAATTTAGCTTAAACAGTCATATGCTTTTAAAGAGATTAAGAAGGAAAAAGTCATAATTTTTTTTTTATTTTTTAAAGTTTATTGAGGTGACAATGGTTAGTAATGTTACATAGGTTTCAATGTACAATTCTGTAATACATCATCTATATATCACATTGTATATTCACCACCCAGAGTCAGTTCTCCTTCCATCACCTTTTACCCTCATCCATTACCCCCCTCACCTCTTACCCTCTGGTAACCACTAAACTATTGTCTGTGTCTAGGAGTTCTTGTTTCTTTCTTTCTTTGTCTTGTTCCTTTGTTGTTTTCAGTTTTATATCCCACATATCAGTGAAATCATATGGTTCTCTACTTTTGCTGTCTGACGTATTTCGCTTAGCATAATAATCTTAAGATCCATCCATGTTGTCGCAAATAGCACTATTTCATCTTTTCTTATGGCAAAATAGTATTCCATTGTGTGTGTGTGTGTGTGTGTGTGTGTGTGTATCAGATATTCTTTATCCAGTCATCTATCGAAGGATACTTTGGTTGTTTCTATGTCTTGGCCACTGTAAATAAAGCTGCAATGAACATTGGAGCACACATATCTTTACCGGTAAATGTTTTCAGATTTTTTGAGTAGATACCCAGGAGAGGGATTGCTGGGTCATATGGTAACTCTGTTCTTAACTTTTGAGGAACTTCCATACTGCCTTCCATTGTAGCTGCACCAATCTGCAATCCCACCAACAGCGTATGAGGGTTCCTTTTTTTCCACAGCCTCTCCAACACTTATTATTTATTTTGTTGATGATAGCCATTCTAACTGGTGTGAGGTAATCTCTCATTGTGATTTTGATTTGCATTTCTCTGATGATTAGTGATGTTGAGCATCTTTTTATATGTCTATTGGCCATCTGTATGTCCTCTTTGAGAAGTGCCTATTCAGGCCCTTTGCCCATTTTTTAATTGGATTGTTTGTTTTACTGTTGTTGAATTGTATGAGTTCCTATATATTTTGGATATTAGCCCCTTATCAGAGGCGTTATTTCTGTGTATTTATATGTATATAGTTTTTCAAAAAGTTTGTGATAATAGTTGCATAAGTGAATTAACTAAAAGTCATTGAATATATATTTAAAACAGGTAATTTTATGGTATTATAAGTTATGTCTCAATAAACTTAAAAAACTACATATCCCACCTGCCCAAGTGCTATTTACCTTTGATTTATGAAGATTGTTCTAAAACTAGCCCATTAACACAGATGAATTTGATTAGGCCAAGTAGAATCACAGAGCTTCTGGTTAAAGAAGCCCAAAGGTTACAAGGTTTCCTGGTGACCTTTCTTTTCAAAAATGTGTTTTTAATCTTTTTGGGTCATTTCATAGAATATAGGGTAGGGGAGGAGTTTCAATACCAGTCCCACAGGACTAAAAAGTTGTGGTCTTTCCCCTATTTAAATAACTAAAGTTATTGCTTTCTTAATCATTATGCAGTGTTTAAAATTTACAGACACAGCACAGAATAAACACACACACACTAAATTGATTGTTATCATTAGGGATTATATTTGTTCCATGTTTGTGTGTGTGTTTTTCCAACTTTATTGAGATATTATTGACATATAACATAAGTATATGTATAGAAAAATTATTACCCCAATAAGGCAAATTAACACCTTCATCCCTTCACAGCATTTTTTTCTTAACATTATATTTTAAATTTTCCTCATATTACTAGAAATTCTTCAAAAACATGCTTGAATCCTGAATCAATGATATAAATTAAGCTTTTACCTTATTTTAAGTGATTTCCAACTTTTTACTGTCATTTAAACAACGTAATGTATGTTTTTATTTATAAATCATAAGCAATTACTGAGTCAAAGGTATGGATATGTTTTAGGCTCTTGTACATATTAGTAAATTGTCCACAGAATGATTATAACTGTACATTTTCATCACTGGTTTTGAAAATCTCTCTCTCTCTCTTTTTGGCCTGAATTTAGTCATATCTTTTATAAAATTTTTTGCCAAAGTCAAGTAAAAAAATTGTCTTTATTTACTTGCATATCATGAGCATTTCCATCTTCTGTCTAATTTTGAGAGAAGTCCTCGCTGCAGTGAGATAATCTTAGAAAAAGTTGGTTCAAATAGGTAAATCATTAAAAATGATGCACACATACCTTAAGCCTTTATTTTAAACTTGAAATATATGTTTGTGTATTTCTTTAATTTAGATTCTTTTTCTTGAGAATGCAGGTTAGTTAGCTGGTTGGGATAGAACGACATGCTTCTGGCATAAACCATGTCCATACTGCACTGTTTATAAGGTCCAGTTTCAGTCTCTTTATCGTAAGTGAGGTAACATTTAAAGCAAGCTGAATATGGAATCCTAAACTTTTATACTTTATTTTTTCCATTATTTTGCATGTGTCTCACCTACATTAAAATTGACAGCAATTTTTAAGCAACTTTATTGAATGCTTTGGAAGCATTCGACGTAATTTTCATGGAATCAGCACTTCATGGAGGCAGCAATTTTCTCTTGTACTCATTTTTTGTTATTTAATAAAATGTGTCATCATAATTACAACTTCAACTGATATAAACAGACTTAGGAACAAACTTATTGGGTTCTTGGTGTACATGCATTTCCACTGGTGGCAGTGGAAATGAGAGGTTGTACTAGAGTGTAGCCTACCCACCAAGAGCATTCAGGATATTTTACAGCGAGATTTGAGAACATTGCTTACTCCAACAAGCCATTTAAATGGAAGTTGATGTTTAACATATTTTCAGCTCTAATCTCTGAAACCAGACTTCATTTGTAATGGGGGTAGAAATGAATCTTAAATCCACCTTATATCCTGTCCTCCCTTCTTTTCTTTCTTGACTGATTATCTGCTGTGTACCTTGCGCTATTTACTCTGTGCCTTGTACAGTAAATAAACTGATGAACACACAGTTTCAGTTCTCAAGGAGTTGAAATCCAAAGAGGAAGACACTGTGTGGTGCTGTCTCTGTCTGTTTGCTGCCCTAAATACTAGCTCCGAAGTGTGAGCCATACAGATACGGAGGACAGAGAAAGATTACCCCACTCAACCTGTCGGTGGGGGACAATTTCCAAGTGAGGCTTGATCTGAAAGGATGGCTAGGAATTAGCTAGGCTTTCGGAACAGGGATATGCACTTCAGGTACCTGGAATAGCACATGCACGCCTTTTACTAGCAAGACTAGCAATCCTCTGAATGCCTGCTGCCCTATTTATTTACAGTTACCTCAAGTTATATGTGGTAGATTTGTTCTTTGATTTATTCATTCCCATGACAGCAAAACTCGCACCCTGGTCCTCCCCATGCTATGTGGTAGTGATTATTGTTTCTGAAAAGAACCACATGTCTATAAGGAGCAGAAATGGATGAATATAAAGGATAATCTTGTGTCCCTTCTTCTCTGACCGTCCCCACTCTCTCTAGAAATGTTATTAATGAACAACTCAGGGAGATTACAATATGACCGTCATTTGTTGAACACTTATAATGTACTAGACACTTGCTTAGTGTTTTACAAACATTTTCACATTTATTTTAATCCATATAGCCACCGTGTGAGGTAAGATTTAGGATCTCCGTGTATAAATGAGGACACTGAACCTCGGAAAAGTTAAGTAAATGGACAAAAACTTCACTGTTGGGATTGACGAGCCAGAGTTTGAAGCCATGCTTCTATAACTCGGAAACCCTGTCTCTTAACCATTGCACCTGTATGTGATTATGACGAGGACTTGCTCTAAGTCATGGGAGAAAGTTTGGTTACTTTTTCCCATAAGGTTCCCCTAGACAATTGTGCTTTAACATCCAAAAATAGTTGAAAAATTGTGTTGAGGTTTAATTGTGTTGTTGATAGTTGTGTGACTCATAGTAGATTTAAATTATGTGAATTTTTTCTTACTAAATTATAGTTCCCATAAGACATGCCATAAGACATAAGAAATGCAAAGAAAGCTTCCACAATCCCCATACCCTCCTTCCACCGCTCGCCTCGCTTCTCTCTCATTAGAGAGGACAGATGACTCGCGTCCTTACCAATATTGGAAATCCTTAACAGTCTTCTAAAAATGCCCTTCTTATCCAACCCTTAGTGTATAATCTGATTTAAATCACCTCTGGCTGCAGCTGACATTTGTAGCCTCAGTTGTACTCCCAGTCCCCCCACCCCACCCCCATACACACAGCCCCTACGCAAAACATGCACATCCCCATTCCCTAGTTTCACAGAAGTCAAAATTTCTTAAACGTGCTTTTTTTTTTTAACTGCTGTGCCTTTGCTCTTCCTAGTCCAGTGCCCTTTCCACTTATCTTCTGTTGTCAGCCTGGGAAAATCCTGCTTATCCATCAAGCGCCAATATAAATGTCACCTTCTCTGTGAAGATCCCCCCCATCCCACCCCACCCCCAGCTTCTCCAGGAGAGGCGTGTTTATCACTTCACTTCTGACCCTCAAGGCATTCCATTTCTGTGTTTGGTAGAGCCCTGAACACATTTAGTCATAGTTCATTTTCTGTTTCTGTCTGTTGCTCCTCAACAATGGCAGCTCTAGAAGGTTAAGTCATTATGGGTTGTTTATCTTTTACCCTTAGCACCTACATATAGTAGCTTATGAATGAATCATACTGAATTGTAATAGTGATAAAATAACCTTTATTAAGTACTTCCTGTGTCTTAGGTACTATACTTGATCTTTATATACATTATTTTATTTAGTCCTCATACTCATCCTATGATACTGGGACAGTTATTATCCCCACTTTACAAATTAGGAAATTGATGTTAAGAGAGGCAAAATAATTTGACCAGGGTAACACAGCAAACAAGTGATGGAGTCAAGACTTGAACCCAGAGTGTCTGATTCCAGAGTTCATTCTCCTTTATACCAGTAGGATCATTCAGTCAATCAGTTAATCAATCAATCAATCAATCAATCAATCATAGTTCTCTGGGAAGTTATCAACAGCTAGAGAGATACATTCTCTATTGATACCAACCTTGAGTGGCCAAGAGGAGGATTTTAAAGATACCCTATCACCAAAAGGATAAGTGAGGTCCCTTGGAAAAGGCTTGAGAGTCATTCGAAAAATCTTGTTTGGTCACAAAAAGAGGCTCAAAGGAATCTGCTGTGATCATTAAAGTTAGGTTCAGAGCATGCAATACTTGGAAAAATAACCCTCACACATTGGTTTTTCAAAGACTAAAAAAGAAAAACAGAAAAGCCATTGTTTGGCTGAGAATGGTGTGGGTCATCAAATGCCAGAAATACCTTTTTACAGAGGAGAAGGTCCAGATTAATTAATTACCTTGCCCAAGGGAACATAGCTAGTAAATAACAGATCTTGGACTAGAACCCTAGTATTTCTGAGTCCCAGTTCAGTGCCCCTTTAACCATAGCGTGCTATATATTAGAGTTGCGGTGTTTTTGCTTGGAGAAAAACATGCTCGCTAGACCAAGGCAGAAATGAGTCTTTGATGGAAACAGCTTGATGCTTTGGGAGCTGGTCAGCTTTTGCCTAAGACCCGCTGCTATTTTGGGCTCTCAGTTTGCTCAGAGCTAAATCCTGCCAGCCATCCAAATAAAAAGGCAAAGCTATTATTTAGGCTTCCTAGGTGTGTGCATTCACTTCTCTGCTTGCGAAGGCAAATTATCAGTTTCTCTCTGTTGGGCAGTTAGAACGTAGGATCATATTAGCCCTTAGATGGCTACTGGTTTGTTTCTGTTACAATAAATGCACGAGCCTTGCTTTCAGGTCGGAAAAGAGAGGGAAAAGAAAAAAACAATCTAAATCAGTCTTTAACAATGCTGATTTCTAATGCTGCTTCTTTCTGTTTCTTTCAGGGCGACGAGGAAGGACCCAGGTAAGCACGCAGTGTTGCTGCTTGTCTGTTCTCAGAAATGAAGTATGGTGACTCTGTGGCCTTTTAATGCCCCATGAGATATGGACAGCCAAGGAACAGCACAGAAAAGGGATCTCCGTCTTAAGCCAGGGCTTTGAAGATCTTATTGTGTAAGACCCCATCGCCCTCCCATCTGAGCCATTTCCTGCCTGTAACCTTCAGATAAAGATAGACTTTAAAGTGTGTAATGACAGTAACTTTGCTTTATTCTTCAGCACTTTCAGAATATCTTGTTAAGAAGAGTGGCACTGTATTTGAATGGTAATTAGGTCTCAGGTGGACTGACTAGATAAACTTTTGCATTGTTCTCTCTTGATTGGAATTGGCTTGCTTTTTTTTTTTTTAATGGGCTCTGGATCCAATATTCTTTATTTCTGACCTATTAACATCTTCGTGCCTGACTCAAGATACCTATCCAATAAATCCTAGAGCATAGGTATACAAAACTTTGTTTAGGGGAGAAAAATGCTCCTGAGTGCTTCTGTATCACCATGTGAAATTTAAAAGAGCATTTCATGTTCACCTCAGCCTTACGTGAACCTGGACTTTGGGCTCACTTACCTTTCCTGTCGTTCTGCTCGAGCAGTGAGAACAGGCTCTAGGAAATGCTGCAGCTGTGCCATCCACACAATCGAGGGTCACTTGTACAAAGTAAAGTATAATGTCCAGATGAGTCCCCACTGTCACATAGAGTCAAGGATTGTTAAGGCTGGGAGGTATTGAAAAGGTCATCTAAGCCACTGCATTCAGAACTTCAGCAGTTTTAGCAGAAACACCTTTTTTTTTTTTCTTCAAATGGGCTTTAAGTAGAATCCCAATGTATAAATAATTGTTTTTCTGGTTAAAGTTGGGGCCACATCTGCTGGTGAACCTCCTGTCTTCATTACAATAGACCCTGAGGGATTTCTGCAGAAACCTAGGGTTCCTCAGAACTCATTTGAAAATCACTAATCTAGTTCAAGTTTCTCATTGAAAGAAGCTCAATGAATTGTCCAAGTTTACTTTACTGGAGCCAAGATTCAGCCCTTCTTGGATTTTATTTACAAACCAACAAATATAGCTCCTTTATTTATTTATTTATTTATTTTCCTTTCTCCCTTCCCACATCCTGAGCTCCTTTCTTAGTGCCAAGTGTTATCCCACATCTGCATCTCCTGGTGCTTCCCTCCCTTGGGAACCGCGGTTCTCAGCCCAGATCTAGCCCCTAGTCTACCATGGTAAAGCCTCAGGCACCCTGCTTTAAACCTACAGAGCTCAGGGGAGTCCCGTTACACCTCATCTTCCAGCTGTTCTCAGGAACAGGCTCCCTCTAAGTTGTGGTTCATTTCCTGCCTCCCTCCCTCCCTCCCTTTCTTTTCTTATGACCCTACTATGTGTCAGGCACAGTGTTATATACTGGGTATGTAATGGCAACTCAAACAGACACGCTCCCTGACCTTGTGGATCCTAAGTCTAGTGGGAGAGATGAGCATATAGCCAGGCACTTACGCTGTTGGGGAAATGCTCTGATAAAGGAGGTTTAGGCTGCTGTAGGAAGGGCTCCTAAGTCAGTCTTGGAGGATAAGGGGAGGTTTACCAAAAAAGGTTGTATATCACACAGGTCTGAAGGATGAGGAGGCAGACAAAGGAGGAGCAGGGGTGGGGGTTGTTCTAGGTAGAGTAACAAGTTGAGTGAAAGCCCCAGATGAGAACAGTGGAGGACAGAAGGTCGAGTCCACATCATTTAGGGCCTCAGGCCTCCTTCAGGTACTTGAGCTCCATCCTGCAGACAGTGGGAGGCATCCAAGAATTTTACACATTAGAGCTTGGAAGACTAGCTAGACTCACTAGCGGTGCAGGGAGGCTAAATCGACAGCTTCTGTAGTTATTGACCAAGTTTTCAGCGTTTTGCACAGACCTTAGGTTTAGACACACTATTTAAATGATCTCCTTGGCACTCACCTCTTCTACTCTCAAGACTCGCTCTAGCTCCTTAAAATCTAGGCCAAGCAGAGCCCTAGACCTTCTTTCCCAGAAAGAGAGTTCAGACAAGACTAATATAAAGAAAACACCTCAGCAGATGTAATGTGCAGACTCCACAGGGTAGAAATGCCCCCACCCCCCATCTCTGGAGAGCCTGATTAGGATGAACACGCTCATCTGTCCTTATTGGCCCCATGCCAGAGTCACGTTGCTTAGGAGAATACAGAGACCTTGTGAAGAGATTAACCCCCTTGAAAGGTGCTAGCCAGTGTGAGAGATTGCCTTGAGAGTTTAGTTGTAGATCCTTCCTGTCATTTGGCCATGACAGTGGTGAAGCAGCGGGTTCTTTACCAGTAACCAAAATGCCAGGCTGTTTCCCTCAAGCCAAGATGCCATCAGAGAGTCTGTTAACCCGGGACTCGACAGAACCCTTTGTTGGTACAACGAGCACTTGAAGAGCATGTTCCAATTTGGCGGAAAGAGGAAAGAGGAGCCAGGCTTTCTTTTGAATAACCTTTACCTTCATTCTTGTTGGTTCCATTCCATTTGCTTATGTCGAACTACCATTTGGCTCAGTGTATTCCAGTTCACGCTTGAGGGAGACTGCCTTTGATGTGAAAGTTCTCTTATTTATGATATACACTTCCTCATCTCAGTAAGCCAAACGGTTTCGTTCCAAAGGCTTCTGGGTTGCTGACAGTATGCACTGAGGGTATGGTGTGTAAGGGAGATGGAAGGAAGTATGGGTCTGCCTGCGCCGGGGCTGGGAGAAAAGCGAACCTGGAAAGCCCGAGCCCCAGGTCGGCTTGGATTCCTGCACTGTGTCTCCTTCGCTAGCATTCTGTCCACACAGCCGCCTTCCCGCTGTCTGCACAGAAGTTCACGGAGAACTGGATTCCAGCCACTCTCCGCGGTGGCAGGAACAAAGGAAAATTCTGTCCTATTGAAATGGATTAGTCTGTAACAGATCTGTGTTTTCCTCTCTTTCTGCCAGCTGGAGGCTCCCTGCCTTCTTTCCTCTTTTCAGTTTTGACTTCCTAAGCTGCTTGACGTGAGGTGGCCAAATATTTGTACTTTTGGTCATATCTGTTCCTTGCCCTGAATTTGATTGTGTAACTTGTTCTGCTAATTAACAATCATATTAATCATAGCTACCATTTACTGAAGGTTTATCATGTATAGTGCTTTATATATATTCTCATTTAATCCTCATGTAAAGCTTATAATGTAGTTATTACCCTGCTTGTAAAATGAGGCAATGCTCAGAAAGATTCGCTTGCCCTAGATCACAGCTAGTGAGTGGCAGAGCTAGGGCTTCAATGTCGTCTGGCTTCAGGGCTCATGCCCCCAGCCACCATCCGGACTGTCCCACAACGCCAGCACACTTCTCCCCGTGGCCCTGAGTGAAAGCCAGGAGGGTTCACGTACAGCCCTCACAGGATCACTTTGGCCTTGTTCCTCTAACCTGGGAGTTCCTACTTGCTTTGACGTTGAATTGCTGTGGCCTCTGTTTTCTGCAAGTGGCTTCTCTCCTTAGCCTCTGTCATTACAAAGGCATATCTCCTTATCCTCACACTGTGTCCTCACAGGGTCAACAGCAAAAGAGGTGCTTCTAGGCTCCCTGAGGAGCAGCCAGCTAGGCCTTCCTCTGGCCACAGAGTACAGTCTGAAGCCCCTCCATCTGGCAGTTGACTCTTCAGATCCATGGAACAGTGGAGTGATACAGATGGAGGGATCCTTGGAGAGCGCGGAGGCGCCAAGTCTTAACGTGTGGAGCTTGGATAGTAACCACTGGAATCATCTTTTAAGAGGGTGTCTTTGAAGCCCAAAGTGACTCTTTTTTTTTTCTTCAAGCAAAAAAAAAAGTAATTTACACTTTGGGCAGTAATTTTCTGCCTTCTCTATGCTATTATGGGAGATCTTGTGTTTGCTCCCTCACAGATTGCTCCTTCTCAATCCTGCAGGAGCCTGCTGAGAAGTAATATATATTCAAGGAGAGGGGGTGGCAGCAGGATCTGCTGCTTGGAAGCTGTTGCTAGCAATGGGAGGAAGTTGGAGAGGGAAGGACCTTTCAACTCTTGTGCTCAGAGGAGAAAGGAGCGACATCAATTAAATTTTGATTGGCTGTTGAGATTTTCTGTGATTTTTTTTTTAAACTAAGAGGAAAATGACTTTTTAATAGTAGCAGCCATACTTGAGACTTCTGTAGAGTTTTTCATCTTCAGAGCTGGCTCTTATTTCAAGCAAAAACCTCCTGCTGAGATCAGTGTGATTCTGACCCATGCTGCCTCTGTGATCAGGCAGGTAGCGAGCTCTGTGGAGGAGCCCATGGAGGTAGCGGGCCTACCTTCTGTTCTTGGTCTGCCTGCGACTGACTGTGACCTTGGGCAAATCATTTAGCCTCTCAGCCTTTTTGTAGTCTGTTTTTATTTCCCTATAAACACTACTCTTTTTTTCGCCCTGCTCACCACCCAGTTTTTTTGGTTTTTTGGGGGGGAAGGGGATATAGTTGTACGGAGGAATATAGTTTTATAATAAAGATGGAGTGGAAAGAATCTGCTTATAGATTCTGTAACTTGGTAGATTTTTAAAATTTTTCTCTCATTTTTCTTTTTTTAAATTTTCTTGGGGCTCTATACTAGGCACTTTTTTTTCCCTTCTAAAATAATAACCGTATGTTCTTAGATATGGCATTTGTCTTCCTGACGACTGAGTTCGTAGAGATAAGAAGGGACTAAGTTAGTGATACACTTAGGTTTCTTTTGTCCTCTGATTGTAAATTCATGGTTTGGCTTTTGCATTATCTTCATTTCAGAAGACATACCTGGAAACCAAAGAAAATGGCTTTGATACTTGTGACGTGAATGAAACTGTCAGGGCTACTTGTTATACAGAAGTGGGGTTCCAACATCTAAGTTGGCCTTTAGCATAGAGAATCTCTTAACTGTCATATTTTCCTGTTACGGAGCATGAGCTGATGTTGTTTTCTACTGCTGATA